CATTGCAATATTAAAGCATGCTTTCAGTGCTACGATGCACAGTTGTAGACATGAATGGGTCATATGAATATTAAAAGAGCAATTTCGTCCATTATAGGCAAAAGACCGTAGTGTTAAATCGCAAGATGCGAGTAAATTTTTATCGTTAGATATTTATTTTGGAAATATTTCCTACATTTAACCTTGCAAGAGTAATGTTTCAGACAATCTCTATAATATGCATGTAGCGATTCGATGCGTAGCAAAAATCGTATACCGCTTGTATAAATATATAATGAGAAATTTCGTCCTTTGTATGCTAAAGATGGCTACTTAGAGTAGGTATAGACAATTAAAATTTGTAGCCGTTAGTAGAAATAGCGTTCTAGGATTTTTAGCTTAAGCCTAGCAAGAGTTGTCTATTGCAGATTACTTTGTGCATAAGCATTGATTCAGTGGTATAATGGCTAATTCCAAACATATACACTATGTCGAGCTTTCATTAAAAATATACACAGCACTTTAGCAAGATAATATTATCATTATATCATCATTAATGCACGGTATAAATAAACTAGCGATAGACAAATTATTTTATTGTATAAAGTCAAAATTGCGTGATGCCATACAGCCTAAATACGCCACTCAACCTAATAGGCGGTTTGTATCCTTAACTAAGCAGACTTCCTAATATTTGTATCCTCCCTTACATTAGTAAAATGGTTATTAAGTAGCTTAGCCTTGAGTAACTCTCCCAAGTGGACCTAACTATCCGTCTCTAGGACTTCTATAATTACGATAGCTACCATACTTTTTGAATCTCCTTATATTACACATGGTACAAATGAACATTTAAAGAGAATCTCATCCATGTTGACAAAAAGTTCATAGAGCAAATTTTGTCATTATTTGCAGGACCTAACATTCTCTAACGTTCTTTAATCTAAACATAACAAGTTGCACTTTAAAGATTACTTTATATTATAAAAGTAAATGTTCAATTATATGTCACTTCATTATAATATTTAGTAGATTTTAAGTAGTCTCACCAGTAGTTTTGCGGTAGAAACCCATAATACACCTATTGAATTTTATGCATACTTAGTCACGCTAAAGGGGAGAAGTTTTCTATACAGATTTAGGCCATTGTCACAAATTTTCTTCTTTGTGAACCGTTCACTCCTCTAGTAAGTAATATCCTAATGCTCTCGAGGTACGCATAGGTAATCGATTACTCGAAAAGTGTTCAGTAGTAAGTTTATTATCTCGCTCAACGAGCCTTCGTGACTACTGAATTTCGAAACAACTAGTCATTAAGAGCTCGCTCCTTTCATACTCTCTGAGCCTCGGAGCTCTGCAAAATTTCATAGGTGCAAGTTATTACCAGTTAGATTACTTAATACAAAACTATATTCATCAACTGTCCGAAGTGCAATAGTGCATTTACAACTAAAGTTAATATTCCAAATTCAATTAACAATTAATGATCATATTTCATTGTCGTAAGTAATTACCTTACGGTGGCAAAGCACCGTAGCAGCCCCGTAAATTTCGCTCGCAACTTAGAAATTGCTATTGTAGCGTAAAAATATTGATAAATAAATTTTCTGGTAAGAGATTTTCATACAATGATATTTTTATTGCATGATGTTATTTTATAAATACCTATGCTCTAGAGAACTTAGCAGATGGATATTTCAAAAATTTCTTTACGTGGGAATTTACAATATTCTAAATGTTAAACTTGCTATTGCCTGATCATTAAATATGAAAGACAGTTAATTCATCAAAATATTGTATAAATAATGAATTGAATAATGAAATTTAGATACGAGAATATCCGCAAGTAGAACTATGGCATTGCTTAATGGCAAAATTAGAAAGAAATATGTTCAACTTTTAAATATTTGGTAGATAGTTGCGTACAGTATGGTATTTGGATTATGACAAGTTCCTGCTCCTAGACAACTGATATTAAGGGCAATTAAAATCGTTAGCATTATAAATTTCTAATTTCGATATCCTATAAATCGACTTCATTTTAAATCTGATAAAGATCACAGCTTACAGACATTCAGTGGGTGATGTTTTATTAGAATTGCGAAGGCCTATGGAGATAGATGATCATTAATTATCGATATCGTGGACGATGTTAAATAGCCTTAGAATAATATTAATTTATTCCATTGCCTAGATGCTTAGACAACCTATAGTGTTCATTTCTAAATCATTAACTAGCATATATATCTAGCTGTAATGCACTCGGAAGGTCAATTAACCTATTAATTAAAAATGATACCTTTTACGTAGAGATCTTAACGTAATAATCACCATTTTTGGCCATCGCTGATGCATTGCCAATTGAGAGTTTAAATATTTCATATCTTAATTATGATCCCTCCTGTTACAAATATAATACCTCTTAAATAGTGGAGGTAACTTTCGATTAATATGCCCTAGATACCGTACATATAACAAGCAAAGCCAGTATAAATACTTAAGGGGAAAAATAAACAGCAAATAGTTAAATTATTTGACCAATGCATCTAAACTTGCAATTTTATTTTAGAATTGTAAATGATTCCAGAGCGTTTTTCATTCCTAGCTGATATAAAGTTATGAAAAGTGTTATATTCAATTTGTACTACTTAAGTGAGAATTTTACTTAATTTGCCTCAGTAAAGTATATCATATATAAAATAAACTCTATGCTGTAAATACGAATTACTGTAGCAGGGAATTTTCAATACAGTTTCTGTTCCTCCAGAAGCTAGTGCTGGAAGTGCAAATCATTTGTATGATAGAACAGTTATCATTATTAATAATTAGATATGCATGGCCAAGACGGCAATGGTAAATATCCGTCAGAAGAACGCTTTAGTAAGCCTTATTAATATTAAATATGCCTAGACATTTATTGTTGAAATTAGGCATTTTTGGCGACAAGAAAGTCTAATTTTAAACTATAAAAGCAACCAAATAATCCATTGTAATCTGATCTCGGATATATTTAATGAAATGGTAAAAAATTACATACCTCGGCCATCATCAATTTTCAGTAAGAAGGAGAACAAGACCTGTTTTCATCTATAGGTTTCGTTTTATTCCTTTTCTTACTTTGTACTTACATGATCACATGCTAATAAAAAATTAGTATGCAAATTTCATAACAATATGAGACTTAGACTTTATTGTTGAAATTGGATGTTTTTAGCGACAAGAAACCTAATTTTAAACTAGAATAGCAAACTAAATGTAATCCATTGAAATATGATCTCGAATATTTTTATTAATATGATAATAAAAACTATTATATACCTTTACTATCCTAAAATTTTATTAAGTTTGGGAGAATATGATATACTTTTTACGAGTAGATTTCGTTTTATTCATTTTCTGACTTCATACTGATATGATAACACGTTAAATAAAAGTTATTATTCAAATTTCTCAACAACATAAGACTTGTATGATTAGCGTTGCCTAATACAAATAGAACATTAAACCATTATCGGTTATTGCCATATTAGATCAAGTCCTTCAACTTCTCATCACTAAAAGGCAGAAGACAGTTATGTAATATACTGTACAGTGATAAATTAGCTTTAGCTTCTTTGTTTATATTGTCTTTACTAGAAATCGCATCTTGATTAATATTATAAGTATTCTCTTCAAGCATTTTATTCAAGCAGATATAAATATGCTTTCTATAAATCATAAACGATATTATACAATAAGCGATGGAAATATATTCTATTCTTAGTTCACCTTTAGCCAACTATTTATCTTATTTTACTAGAAAAACATTTTTACTAATATTAGAAATATTCTATTCGAGTATTTATTCGAGTCAGCTTGCGCATAATTCTCATAAATCTTAAACAACATAACATAATAAGCAATAAAAATATGTCTTTATTCTATAACATAAAGACCTTCCAGAGTACGGACTATTATTGTGTACGCATATGCACCTTATTTCCATGCTAGCGTAGAAAGGCATATATAGCTATTTCATGCATAATTGTTGTTAGACAGGAATGTATATACATGATATTATTCAGAATATTCTCCTAAACAGAGTTGGATAACTTAATAAAGTGATCCTCAAACAATACTTTTAATCTATAAATCTTTAATAAATCTAATTGTCAATCAACGATAGCATTTAATTTAGCATTAAGGCTTCGTACCAGGGCCTTATTATTAACATTGAACTAAATTCTAGTTCTAAATCAATCTATCACACTTTATATCATTCACAAGTCATATTTTCCAGATATTGCAAAAGTTTTATACTAATTTCTTGCTGACAGATGCAACTTTAAGAATGCTTTTATAGTCGATTTTTAATCTTGTCTGAGTTGGGAAAGTTTTGCTATCGTTAACCTAGGAATAGAATATCAAACATATAAGAATAGTTTCCACTTTAATTGTATCATGAAAACATACTCTATTAGCGTATATTTTGAGAATTATATTTATTTACTGATCTATAGTTTATGTAATCTATTATCGGACTCATTGTCCTTAGAATAAAATGAAATGCATTAAATATTCCCTTATCGAATGAAATCATGCATAGATGATTTGGTTTTAAGATTATACTTAATCTCATGTTAATATTATCCTCATGTTAGTCGGGCAATATTTCCGCTTGACAACACCAGTTGAAGCATTCCTTGGTGAAGAAGAAAGGTGAGTTTTTAATGTAGCTAAAAATGGTTATACTTTATGCAGAAATTTTAGTAAAATTTTATCATGCAAACGAGATATAAAATAAATGTTTATTTCTAAACTCATGCGGTTAGTAACTAACTGTGTGACTGATTAAACTTCTTTCCTATCCTATCGCCCTCATCATTAAACTTCTAGATTTACCATTTAGCTTCTCATCATTTGTAGTCGAAATATGCTATATAGTGCGTAAGGTGGCTATTAAAAAAAATATTAATTTCAACTTGATATTTTCAGTTCCAGTTTCTTCATTATTAGCCTTGGAACTACAACTGCAACAAGACATGGAAAATACAACGATAGATATAGATGAGGATATCAATCAAACCACAGTCGATTATTTTATAACGCAATTTCCAAATTCTACGTTCTGTCCATCCTTGCAAGCCATTTTAAATATTCTTCATGTAATCATTAGTGGTTTAACTATTTTTATCAATTTGAGCATATTTTTAATCATCATCTGTCGCAAAAGACTGCGTAAATGGAATAATTTTTACCTATGCGGTATGTTTTTAGCAGCTACTGGAACAGCTACTGCCAACATTATCCATAAGGTACTATTTAAAATGGATCTAATTTTAGTTTTTCAACAAGGATTTATTGCTGTCTTTAACTATTTGATTGCTGTCGTAACATTTAATCGATTTTTGCGCGTTTGTGAGCCTATACGTTATAAAAGTATCATGACTAAAACAGTTATTGCCAGCGCTACATTATCTTGTTATCTATTTTGCTTTATCATTCCAATTGTTGATTTTATTTTAAGACATTTCTTACAAAACCCAATGGATGCTCTATTAGTTCGGATGTTAAATTGGCTCTTGGTATGCCATATTTACATTCTACCATGTGCTTGCACTATTTTCCTCTATATTCGTATCGTTATGATTGTATTCTCTCGTGCCCAGTTTTTAAATCAAATTTCGCTATATCATGCCACGCGATGCAAAACTAATATGAAATCATTTCAACAATTAGCATTAATTGTGACTCTGTACATTTTATGTTGGTTGCCCTACTGCATATGCTATCTGGTATTGTCACGCTCTCCCAGTCAAATTGCCGAGACAACATCGATTATTAATATTCTCGTCTTGCTAATATTTTTCCATCAAGCCATCAATCCGATCTTGTATGTTGCTCTAACAACAACGATTAAAGATGAAGTGATTGACATTGCCTATAATCCACATGGTAGATATCCACGGTCTCGAAGTAATCGTAAAACATTCACATCGAGTGGTAAAGGCGAAACAGTTAGCACAACTACTAATTGTGAAGCCCATCCACATCGTATTCATGATATCCGTGAGGTGACTCATTTCTAAGCTAGTTGAATGGGTAATCATGACATGACTAGATCTATTTGGGGTTGATAGTAATTTTCTATCTCAAATATCCCAAAAAGTCTTTCCGATATTACAACTGTGTTCATTGCATGCTTGATTTTCTCAATATCGCTAACATTTGATGTTATACGATTACTTTGCACAAAATAGTCAATCTACTTGTATCTATTATTAAGATACGATGGAAGACGATGGCTTGGTAAAATTTTATCGTTTATATGGCACTAAAAGCTGAGACCAATTTAAAATTATAATTTTGAGATAAAATCATCATTATGCTGTTATATTCTCCTGGAATATACTAATTTCAGCTATATAAGTATTTATGCACAGTAAGACAACGAAAAATTCTATTATTATGCGGAATAAGTTTATCCAGCGGAAAGGCGTTATTAACCTGAAAAACTATTAGAATTGATCATTTAAAATAGTCGTCTTGAAAATAGCATGATAGAATGCAGATGAACATGGTTGCTTTTGCAATTTTCTTAGAATGGCATCGAACAATGACTTAAAAATGAGGCATTAAGAGATTTCAAAATTTCATGTCTTCCTGCTCATCAACATTTTAGCAGCAATCTCTAAATCAAGCCTTGAGGGCGATTTTTTATTATAATAATCGAAAGTCAAGACAGAGAACTCCCGCTAAATCGTCATTTGAGTAAAATATTGATGAAGGTATTATGGATTTGCTCGATCTTATTGTTCAGAAGTTAAATTTAAACGGTACTGTTACATCATTCTACTACAATATTAGTCCTAAATAAATAAGATATATTTGTTGATACTTTTAACAAGTCCGGTAAAATTTTACCACACCATGTCGAAAATTGGATTTGCATTTCAAATGTCTACTCTGTTGTTGAAAATTTTTATTTGCTTTAAAATCTAGCAATCGCTAATGAAATACGGCTTTATAAATGTTATAAATGATTTTATAGAAAATAAGAATATGAATGCCTATTTCAATATCCATATTTGAATCAAGTGGATCCTAGTCTTTAGAGTCCCTAAATGGAGTAAATACACCACTCGAACCCGATAAAACCCAACCAAACTGTTGACTTTCAAACCCGAAATGAGTTAAATCGCCATACAAATACTATATCGGTACAGAATTACTTAACTCGAACCCCTCTCTCGAATAGGGTTCAAGTCGGGTTTTGAGTTGACTTTTAAGGACACTGGTAATCTTTACGGGTTATACGTTCTTTCTGTAATTTTAAGAACACTGTGATAATCATATAATCACATTGGTTTTGGATTGATTTACTGTCTTTATATCTTTTTATTCGCTATTTGTCTATTTTGTACGTAAGATTGTGAAATATGCAGCATTATATGTACCAAGTTATAAGCTTATTCTAGTAACCTTCTTCTTACGGTTAAGATTTATTATTATTGACTTAAGCGCTACTGTTTTTATTCACTGCAATTCAACTTTAAAAACAAAATTGCAAAGTTATATCGCGCCATATATATAGAATATGTGCGCATAATACCAAAAATAAATTTGATAATAATTTATTAAGCTATTATAATGATGATCTGCATTACATCAATATCTTTGTAGAAAATTTAAGTCGATAGAAAGCCGATATAAACATATTCCTATCTGATATAGTTTAGGCTGATAGTTTATCGTAGCATGATTTTAATCTTTACTTTATATAATTGAATAACTTGCTAATTATGTTTATTTAAAGTGGTTCGAACGATTCTATAGAGATAAGATCATTTTTTTTAGTACAATAAGTGATAACTGTACCTGTGGAAAATTATTAATATGAATAAGTATATTATATATAGTTAATAGCGATACAACGTATGCTATATCACTTTATTCTATAATAAGTTATTTCTCATTCAACTTTTGCTATATTAAATAAATATGTAACCAATTTGTTATGCTATGGAAGAGCTATTCCTTATTTTACTGATTAATTTGGCTTTCCATAGTATTGATAATTTGGTGGTCAAAGTAATCATTATAATTATGACTGAAATTGTTTTTCTCTTTATAGTAATATATTTCATTTTTATCCTGTTTTAAATTCTGGTATTATCTCAATTGTTAATTTTTATTTAATTTGATAAATTATTTATTCGCTTCATGCTGATAATTGTACTGAGGCTAATTCTGGTTATTTACTCGTATAATACTTAATTAAATAGATAATGCCTATATTAATAACATCATTTTTATCTGACTAAATTCTATTATCTCCATGCTATTTATCTTTCATAGCTGTTACTATTTCTATTTTACCGCATCTCTTATGACATGGTTTTGTTTTTAAGGTTACTAGGCATTAATTCTGTTCGACTAGTTTAAGTGAATGACGTTTTAATTAAACAATTCATTGTTCAATCAAAAAGACGATTTTTGTGACTTTAAACAATGTGAATACACTACAGAACATTTTAACAGCTGCTAATACCTATAATTCCTTTTCTCAAGATTTGAGATAGCCGATCTATAACGACCGATTTAAATGGTCTAATAATTGGAACATAGGTAATATACCACAGACAATGGCTAGATGTCAAATATTTTATCAGTTTCTGAGCTTCGAATACTATAATTTATAATGCCTACATAGACTACCAGAAATTAAAACATAGTAGAAATTCTCAGTAGTCCATGTTACTGGTGTCTCTGATCATTTAATTTTTTTATCTAGTAATCCGAATCATCAATTTTTAATACTGTTAGTTAGATTTCGTAGTTAAAATTAGTCGATAACATATTTTTAGTTGCTCTTAAACGGTGTGTGAATAAACCGTTTTCATAACTTGTCATATTATATTTTACATCCATAAGACCAACTAGATTATAATTTTGATCAATTTTGCAAGATTTAATAAGATAATGAATTAATCAAATAGACCTGATATGAATCAGGTATATAATATTTATTATTCCATGATCGTTACCTTAAGTGATAAAAATTTTGTTTGTTATTTCATAATCATTCTTTAAACAATATACAAACTCTAAAGTTTAAATATTATACCAATAGTTTAATTCTACGAGACTGCGTACAATTCAATAGAATCGTGGATAATTCAGTAGAGATTTCCAGTTATCTCCTACCATCTCTAAATATTGGCTATACTAGACAGTTATCCTTGATTTTTCCATCTACAAAATACTTTAATTCGATGAAACTATAAATAAATCAAAGAAACTAATTTCAGTCGTATTGATGCCATTAGTGGGTATCGCTTCAATTTTTATAGAGATACTTTATTCTCATGTTGTTACGGTGTTGCCTTATCATTAGGATAGTTTAATAAGTACAGTAGTAGCTAGTATGGAGAATATCCATATTTGTAGGGCTAGGTAAGATAAGTAATGCCTTAACGTGGATGTTGTTTGCGATACTTCATTACATATTTGATATTGATTGTTACTGTGTGATAGATAGCAGTAAGATGATTCAAGTTCTAATTGATGATAGTTGAATTAGACAACCTACGAGCTTAGATTAAGATTAAGTATGAGTAAGAGATTCAAAATATTTACTGATAGGAAAGCTAGGTAATAAGGAATATCTCAGTTCGAGATGTTTCTCCTAGTAAGGTATAATCACAATACTGTTGTTGTTTACAAATTGGACGGTTCCTATATAAACGGGAACATTTGAGTTGAGTGGTGTGGTAAAAAGTTGTAGATGTATCTTTGCTAATAAAAGTTTCATCTTTACAGTATTTTGCTGTATGTGTTTAACGTTAAGTAAAAGAGCGTTTAAGTCAGTAGCTACTTATAGACTTTTACTGTACATTACCTTGTCGCAGAAGTGAAATTGTGACACATGTATAAAATACTGTATTTAATTCGATGAAACTATAGCTAGATCACTAGAACTAATTTCAGTCCTTTTTTACTTTATCACTAAAGACTGCTCATACTTGGGCGCAGATGACTTTCGTCTACTCTTACTGGAGTTGCAGATATTATTTATTTATTTTGTTCACACTATTTTCGCACTAGTAGGCTATATCTATAATTTAAAAGTCGTTTGGATCATGGTCGTACGTGTAAAGAATTTCAAATATTTTTATACCTGTTAAAATATATTAGTATAATACATAAGGTATGTGAAGACTATCCAGATTATCATAATCTATCCTTGCTCTTCCACATTCAAAGCTATATTCTTTTGTTTGGTGTTGTCTCCAACGTAAAGTATATGTAGACCATTTCAGGATAACAGCTATACAATGTATCCTTGTTCATCCTATTATATACTCAAAACTATATGTTTCCTATGTCGTTGTCTCCGACATAAGAAAATACAGTTATAGAGAAAAAATTATAACGATTGGATTGGCATTTATAGTAGTCTACACAAATGGGTATAAAATTGTTTACGAAGGCCCATAATTACTTTTGTGAATGATAGAATTTATTTTGCTCTGTAATTATATATCTGGGTCAATAAGAAAATTTTCAATCCATATCATCTATTCTAATGATCGAAAAAGCTTATGCCATATGTAGGTGGCAATGATCGGCAGGCATAGAAATTTTCGAATAGATTCCTCGGTGAAATCGAAAAAGATCACGTTCTATCATGGATTTACTCGCTTTTCGTTGTACCGTCTAGATTTGCTATAGTTATCAACCGATGAACATAACAATATTAAAGCTTGTTCTAATAACTTTATTTATAAGTTTAACACGTGCTGTTATAAAAGAAAGGAAAATAACGAGTATCTTTATAATCTCATACATATTTTAGTAGCCATAAACATATTAGAGTAAGTTATTTATTTTAGATATATGAGTAAATACATGATGAGCTATCTATCACCTTTATACAGTGGTAAAATAAATATGTCCAATTTTATATAACATACATGAACACATAAATAGCAATACTACGCTAGGAGTATTTGGTGAGTGCTTGAACTGTAGACGATTTCGTCCACTAATATAAACATTTGTAAGCATACATTTTAAATCGTTTTTTCTTTTGCTCTATTTCTTTCTTAAAATATCATGATATGATGCATCAGTTTCATTAAATTAGAGCTAATTAAAAAAACGATATTAGTATGCGCTGCTCAGTTGAGCATATAATATTTCAAGGTTTAATTGGCAAAACATCCGCCAGGCCTATATATACTTTTACAACAAGATTAAAGGTACAATAGTAATTTCTTGATAAGAAAAAGTCTAAAAACAGTGTTAATAAAAATAACATTTTCCACTTTAAGCCGTAAAATACCCAAAGGAATAACAAAGTCCCTCTAATAAATACGTGAAGTTTACAAAAGGCACTCTTAATAAAAAATAAGTAAGGCTATAAATAACATCTATAATAATCACAAAGTAATTCTATTGCTTGCTAAATTCTATCAACCTCTTCATCATGATAGAAAGATTTAATACAGGAAAATAGAAAGTTTCTAAAGTTCTTTCATCAATCTAAAAAGAATAAGTAATTCTATTTCCACTGTTAAATCATGAACAGCAAGTTCTCTATTCGATATATTTTCATTGCAAAGACTAAAATGAGATATTTCACTAGGAATGAATGCAATATTATTTCATCTATTTGTATTCAGACATAACCTTGCATAAATACCGTCATAAGTGAAAAAATTTCCATTTCTTTATCCTATTATAAAAATAAACAGTTGCATTAATATTACA